CCTGGAGTCAGGAAGACCTGAGTTCAAACTTGGCCTCAGACACTTACTATCTGTGTGACCCTGGGCAAGTCACTTAACCCTGTTTGCTTCAGTTTCCTCATCTGTAAAATGAGCTGGAGAAGGAAATGGCAAATCACTCCAGTATTTCTGCCAAGAAAACTCAAAAAAGAATGGGTCACAAAGAATTGGACCCAAATGAAACAACGGAACAACAACAAAATTGGGGCAACAGATTGAGCTCACTGCTCAAAACTCTTCCATGTTGCTTCTCTGCTCAATAAACTGTAAAAGCTCCCTATGAATCAAAGACAAGGTCTTCTATTTGGCGTTGAAAATTCTTTATCGTTTCACTCCAACTTTCCTTTCCAGCTTTATTATACATTTTCTGTTGTTTTTCAGTCACTTTTGACTCTGTGATCCCATTTGGGGTTTTATTGGCAGAGATACTGCAGTGGTTTGCCATTCTTTCTCCAGCTCATTTTATAAATGAGGAAACTGAGGCAAACAGGGTTAAATGACTTGCCAGAAGTCATATAGCTGGTGTCTCAGGTCAAATTTGAACTCAGGAAGATGTTTTCCTGACTTCAGCCCGGCACTCTATCCACTGCCCCACCTAGCTGTCCTTATTATACATTACTCCCCTTCAGATACCCTTCAGGTTGAGTCAAACTGGCTTTCTTGTTTGTTCCTCACATATCACAGCATCCCATTTCTCGTGCCTTTGCAAAGGCTTTCCTCCAAGTCTGGAATACGTTGCTCTTCCTTCTCATCTCCACCTCTTCAAATTAATTCCTACTTTCCTTCAAAATTTCACTCAAATGCCACATCCTAAGATTTTTCCTAATCCCATAGCTGTTAATCTCCTAAAAATTACCTCTCCTAAAAATTACCTAGCTGTATGTACAACCAGGTACTGATTAGTGAGAATAATGAATCCCATGAAATGGTATTATGTATTCAAATTCACAGTATTTGAAGTTGTAACTATGTAAAATATGATAAATATATTTGGTAAATAACAGTAAATCATTTTGGTAAATAATATTTATGGTAAATAATGAAACTATATCTTGGAAATTTAAATAATGCACCTTCAATATGATTGGTTATTAGCACTAATCAGAACCTGGTTGTATTTATTTTGCTTATTTGTGTATGTGTTATTCCCACTTATTCAATGTGATTTCTTTGAGGGCAGATTTTTGTCTTTGCGTCTCAGGCTCCCAACATGTTACATAGCAATTGATTGACTGATTGATTGATTGATTGATTGGCAGATGCTTGTGCATCACTCTTGAGAACACAGAACCGCCTCCAACCCAAGATGAGGCTTGAAGGAGGACATCAGTAGAGCAGATTGCCCCATTGCATTTTAAGTCTGTTTTATGAAATTTTGATTTATAAGCAACTTTTCAGGAATGGATCTATTATGTAAAATACAGAATTTTCCAAGAAGCCCTAAATGAAAATTTTTTACATCTTGTTCTTACAAGATAGGAATAGTCATATATCTCTTCTTCCCAAATGATATGAGAACTGTTCCAGACATTTAATTGAATGTAGCATGAGCTTATTTCCATCCAGATAAAGTTAAGAAAAAAGTAGTTATCCAACAAATTTAACTCTTGTAATCAAATAATATTCAGAATCAAGACCTAGCCGTGTTTTTTCTCTTTTCCCCGATTGCTTGAACTTTGGGATGGATGCCTCAAATCCCAACTTCCTTAACCTGTGGAGACAGAAAGAAACAGCCAAAGAGTACATTCAGCCAACATACCTGTATGGTACAGTTAGCTCCATGATTCTTATTATAGGTAACAGAAAAGCCATGGCAACTGCCTGAGAGTGAAGACACACAGTTGTGCATGAGCTCAGGTCAAAAGGATTTCAGTGGAAATTGAATTGAAGAGAATTTGGCTTCAGTGGACAGAAATTGCATGTTTCTCCTCGAGTAATGATGTGAAATCAGAGTACCTGACAAATATTAGACACTTAATAAGTGCTCATTGATTGCAAAAGAAGGAAAAATTGAATACTTTCTCAGGCTTTGGAAGTAAAATCACCAGGCCTGATCTGCTTGTCAGCCATTATTCAAACAAAAATTTAAAAATAGATTTTTCAAATGCCTATTAGTAAATAATTTTTTAAACCCAGAGTTCATTTACTAGTGGAGTCCTTTTGTTTTCTTCTGTGTGAATTTAAGGTTGGCATGAAACCTGTCCCCTCTCCCCCAAATGCACAACTAATCCTCAGAGTTACATTTGTCAAAGAAAACATGTTTCAAATGCTCACTTTTAAATGGGCCACTATTCATTTATCTCACATGTTCCGCTGAACAAATTCCCACACCCTCCCAAGTCGCCCATTTGACTATTCTTCTGTCTTGCCTGTGAGAACTTCTTTCATTGTAACATAAACCATTATTTCACTTCATCATTAAAAGTAACTCATTTCAAAGTCACTGTAGCATTTGATATTACTTGTCTTCTTTTATATCCTCCCACAGACAGTTCTTAAAAGTTAGTCAAATCCTGTCTCCTGTAGGATGGGTGAAGAGCAGAGGAGTGAATTTTTCTGAGAAGGGAATCAGAACTTCAGCTGGAAATTTCAAGATTTCAAAGTCACATTTACCCCTTCTACTCTCACGCCATGTGACTGTCCTATATCAGTGATCAGCAAAGCAAGACTTTATAAGCATTGTAGAACCTGCTTGTAATATTAGTGTCAAGAGCCCAAGGAGAGCCATAGTTTAGAGTTTTTATATTATACCTAGAGCAGAAACATACTAACAAGTATTTTTTTTTCCTTTATCACTTACATTTGACAGTACCTAGCCAAGTAGAACTCTGGTGTGTCTTTGAAAACACACATACTTAGAAAAATTAAATCTTTACAGCCTTGCCTACACAGAGGAACCAAATGTAAGATGACTAATTCTAGAATGCGTGAGAGGTTTCATTTTGCAATTAATGAAGAATGAAATATGTCTTTAAAAACTGTACACAAATTTCATATTATGTGTTGAATTGAGGATTCATATATAATCAAGAAGAAAATATTTAATTGAAAGAAAAAAATGGTATAGGGAATCATTCATAATCAGAAAGGCATCTGGATCTTGACAATATCTTTTTTTGTCTGCTGGAGTTAGCTGAGTATAATTATGTGCATTTGTCTCTAGTAAGGGATATAGGTGTGAGAATTCTTCAGGCTTCCTGGCATTTTGAAGAATTATAAATACTGTTTTATGTCTTTACTTCTGGAGAATTGCATTGTAGAGTGAGGAGTGACTTTTGTGTATCTGGATAAACTGAAAGTAGGATGAGTAGGAATAATACATTTATGGTGTACTTTAAGGCCTGCAAAACCCATTCACATATCTTATCTGATCATTTAATACAGTGGTTTTATCCTGACAATGCACTCTGATACTTGTCTGTGGAGTTTAAATACCATACTGAGGTGCAGTCATCCTAATAGTGGACTTTGTTTGCATCAGTGATTATTTGAGGATCTCATTAATCCACTTAGACAACAAATTTGATCCTACCATCCTGGCTTTGAAATAAACATCAACTCTGCATCTCACATTACTTATGTTTATTTACCTTAATACTCAATTCCCTCACTGTTTTTAATTTGAGGTGGAGAGTTGAAGAAGAGGGATGGAGGGCACATTGATGCAAAATTATAGCTAAAAATATAAACACCCAAATCATTCTAGACACATTTCTCCAGCAACTGTAAACCAACCCTGTTGTGTATGGATACAGAGAAAAGTAAATGCACATATATACATACACAGACATGAATTTAATGTCAAATAATGCAAAATCATGTACAAGAGAGTAATGGTTCCTTTGACAACCATTAACAGAGTTGATTGGATTTTGTGCATTTCAGCTTTCAACAAGAGCCCCACTGATCTTGCCTCAGGATCAGATCACCCTAACTCTTACCTATTTATCTTTATGTAATTGGAAGGAGAGAGGGCCTGCATCTGCTTACTTCACACACATGCATGTTTGGATTTATTTGCATGTGTATATAACTACACATCTCTTGCATACTATATACACACTGGATGCAAGGGGTGCTGTTTGCATAAATAAACAACAGAAGTGGTGTTTCATCAAAGAAATTTTCAGTGAGCTAGTCTTACTCTGTCTTTTATTTCAATATTTATAGTGTCCCGCTAAGACAGAGATGCCCTAAAACAACTATAGATGGCCACTTGGATTAAGGCAAAATGAACTTCCAGGGCCCACATTCCCTATACGAATGCTGAGGTGCTCAGAGAGAACTGGAGAAGCCAGTATCAGGTTAAAGGGCACTGTCCTGTCCTGTTATTTTGCCAAAAGGACAAGGCTTTCATTTTGCAAAGATCATTAGTCACCAAGATACATATTTTAGAGAGTTTCTCGTAGGGAAGATTATGTTGGCAGTCACTGGAGTGTACCAGATGGTTCATTAGCATGGGTTAGACAAGTCAAAGGCTTTCAGAATCATTTAGAAAATGTCAAACAGAAACAAGAACCCTGTCACTTTTTATTAGAATTAACTACATCATACCCTGGCCACAGATTTCACCTTGGGTCAGAAAAATTAATACAGAATTATATGAATTGTGTAATATACTGGGTTAAGATGGGTCTTTCTCTGGGGACTCATTTGCTGGCAATATATTATGGTCCCTCTACTTTAGGAATCCACAAACCTTTCCCTTTTGTAAGATATGAAAAGAGTTGACCTTGCTCAAAATCCATTGGTGTCTAATTGATTTGAGGTATATGCAGAATTTCAACAAGATACTCTGCTCCACTTCTTTTGTGATCCTTTTTCCCCCAAGAAGCCTGGTGAGTGGGATTTACTGAATATTCAGCAGCATGTAAAGTATGCTTTATGTCAGGAGGAAAATACACCCATTAACTGAACACAAGGCTTTGGTAAACAGGAATTAAAATGCAATTGAAATGGTGTGACTTTTTTTTTTAATCCAGATGTCAAAAACCTTGAGAACTTCCAGCTGGTGGAAGGGGTTCAAGAACAAGTGAATGCTGCATTGCTGGACTACACAATGTGCAACTACCCACAACAGACGGACAAGTTTGGGCAGCTTCTCCTCCGGCTACCAGAGATCCGGGCCATCAGTATGCAGGCTGAAGAATACCTCTACTACAAACACCTGAATGGGGACGTGCCATGTAATAACCTCCTCATTGAAATGCTGCATGCAAAGAGAGCATAATTCTCCCCCGCCCCCTAAGAGCTTATTTCTGCTTTCAAAAAAAAAAAAGCTGAAAAAAAAGAAAGAAATACTCTGAACTGCTCCAAGCAACACTAATTAAAAACTTGGTTTTCAAACACTGAGAAAATGGTATAATAATCAAATACTTAATAGTAAATAACTGATGTATCAGGGTATTTGTATTGCAAACTGTGAATCAAATGCTACACATCCCCAAAGGAATATAAGACACTACAATTGAAACTGAATGAACTTTGCAGGTGGACAACATCATCATGTCAGATGGGAAAGGACAGAACAATTCTTGTATATTTAAACTAATCTCCACTAAATGAAGAAATTTAGGAACAAATTGACCTGTGCTATTAAGCTATTGTAATGGGGGGGGGGGATTTGCGTGCACTGAATTCCTTCACCAGATAGCTGAAATAAAAAACGATTCTAAAGGATGCAAGCTGTACCTTCCGGCAGCATCCTTTGCATTATCCTTCCAAGGACCCAACACCTACTCTCTTCTGTGATCATGGATGTGTTCTCTATGCAGAAACCTATTTTAAAAGAAGGAGGAAAGCAAAGACCTGTGGAAGGCCACACACGCAACAGCCATGCCACCAAATCATAAAAAGCCTACCTGTCAGGCCTGCAAACCGCTAGTATGAACAGTCTAGGAATAAGTTAGCTTGCCATTCTTAATATGTTCTGAAGTTTGTTTTGTCACGTGTACATGTTGTTAAAAAAATGGAGGCAGTATCCCTCTTCTGGTCATGTCAGCATGATACAGGAAAACATGCTTTCACATGCTTTTCAACTGGTCCAAAGCTAAAGCTTTAAGGAGACCCATTTCTGCTGCTGTAGTGGTGATGCGGCATCTGGACATCACCACGTGCTGGTATCCACAAAGTTTTTGTGCCAAATGGCTTGTTAGAGCACATCAGTCTTTTCAGTATCATGTTTGTAGTTCATTAAAAAAAATTGTTAAAATAAAATCTGTGCTTGGGTTTCAAAGAGCATTTCTAGGTTGTTCAAGCTAACACACAAAGCCAGTGGAAATCAAATCATTTAGTCTCATAGCAATTGAACATTGCCAAAAGGTGGGAAAGAAGGAATTTGTTTTTAATATGTGTTGGGGGTGGGAGTGAGAGAGGTGAAGACTATGGAAAGTAACTAAAAGCTTGACAAAGAGGACAAAAAGAAGAGTGATACTGCCATTTCTAAGTAGACCAAAGTCTGCTGCAGAACAAATATTGGTGAAAGACAATTACAAACAATCTCTTTCCAAATGAAGATATCAGTATTATGACATGTAAAGTCACAGTTATGAAAGTCTTGCCTTATTTCACTATCCCAAGAGTTAACTGTGCAGGTGTGGATCAACAAATGTTTAAAATAAAGTATTACTACTTTTGCATTCAAAGAAAACCTAGTGTTTACATTCTTTAGGTCCTGTGGGGGGGAACTGTGATACTACACATCACAAACGCAGTTGTTCCCTTGATGTCGCTTTCTGATTGGTAATTATTTTTTACCAGTTCTTAATTACTGTATGTCGTGAGACACTAAAATCAAAAGGTAATCTCATTTAAACTCTAATTTTTAAAAGATTATTGGCTGCACAATCACTTGCTGAAACTGTAAAAAAAAAAAAAAGAAAAAAGAAAAGAAAAAGAAGAAAGAAACCTCCTAGTCCCTTAATTTTTTTTTCTCATAAATATTGCTGGCTCTCAAATAGTTTATTTATATTGTATATCATAGTTTCAACTGTAGACAATTATGATGCTAATTTATTGTTCCTTAGTTTCCCCTTTGTATAAGATATAGCCAAGAATGAAGAAGCCAAATATATGTGTTTACTGTAGCATGTCTTCAAGTTGGTAGAATATATAGTTCAGGGACATACAAGAGTCTTAATGAATGAAAATCAGTCACTTGACTCAATGCCTGTAAATCTTCCTAATCTTCAAGGTAGTTTATTTAAAATCTGTTGTAAATTTTATGAATTGTAGCTTCCTCTGTTTCAAGTGATCTTAACTTAGAGAGGTGGGCTCTTCACCTTAAATTCTTTTCCAAGCATTGTACATTGTATACCAAAGACATCAGTCCCTGCTTCTCTAGTCATTCAAAGCTGTCCATTTCATCACCTTCATGACTCAGATCAAATATTTTGTCCGTGAGTAGGGTACAAACTTAGCAAAGTATAACATCTGTGACTCCTTGCTGTATTTCTACTGCCAATTCAAACCACTCATTCTGATCTAAACAGTTCAAAGGACCCCAGAAAAATAGCTCAGCAAAATGGCATATCCAAGAGACGAAAAATGAATTTTTTCTAGTTATACCAAGTTGACCCAGTCACATATGGAGACCAATTGTTTTATCAGTGAGCTGTAAAGTGGGTCCACTCATATATGTACAACATGGGTGAGGGGTTTATGGATTGTTTCTGTTTTGAGCTGTTTTGGTTTCTTTATTTCAGACAAATGCATTGCATTCTGTAAATTCTATTTTTTCTAACAGTGCTCCTCACTGAATATTAAAACCTTTAAAAATGTCAAATATAAGTGTGTTATAAACTATATACAAAGCGCTACAATCTCACTAGAGAGGAATGTGACAGAAGGGTTTGTTAAAACAGCGACAACAGCCACCAGTCAAATTTTGTATCCACCCTGATGGAAACAGAAAGTTCAGAAGCAGGTAAACTAGAATGTATGTTTGCCAGTGTCTGTGGTTCTGAGAATCCCTCCAGCTTGCCAAAGTTTGTGAACTCAATTTCTCTAATGTTAATTGTTAACCACTTTGTAACCAGACATTTACTTACTTAATGACTGCCTTATCAATTACAGGACATATTAGTAAAAGCAGACTAAAATGAAAAGGTTTGGGCTTTGGCTGGTTTACCATAGTTGTTCTATGTTTGTAAACAGACAATCTGTAATGTCTGAATATTTGTATTACAGATGTTCTGCAGCTGCCTTGGGTAGAGTGTGCAGTTAGTTACTTGTTGGAGTTCTCTTACTGTATCAGTGAAATACATATTGTCATGTCAGTTCTTTGCCAGGAGTTTCTCAACACCAATGGAATTTTTTTTCAGTATTTCAATAAATATTGATATGCCCAGCCTGATTATTTTAAAATTGTTTTTATGAAACTTTCATTGCATTAGACACCTGAAAGATCAAATTAATTGAATAGGATTTAAGAAGAGGGAAAAAAAATATTGCCCTTTCTGGATACTATTTTTGTATGGAAAAACCTATTAACTTGGTCAGATATATTCAAACCAATTCTACAAGCATTTATTAAGCACCTACTATTTGCCAGGCATTATGTTAGATGCCAGGGATTCAAAGATTAAAACAAAGTTGTCCTCAAAGAGCTTATGTTCTCCTGGAAATGAAATATTCAGTGCAATGCAATAATGTAACAACCATCCATGAAACAGGGCATGAGGTCTTCAGGTGACAAATGAATGGACATATGACCCAGCACCTACCCAACATAGCTTCCTGAAGAATTTGCTGCTCTGTGGAAACAGAGTAACACACACACAAAGACACGCATGCGCGCACGCGCTCGTGCATGTGCACCTCCCTACCCTTCTAGTGGCTTACTAAGCTTTAGATCATAGGACAATAGGATTTAACACTAGAAAGAACCAGAGAGATCACCTAGCTCACCCTCTTCATATGACTGAGCAGGAAACTGGATGACCTTTAACATAACAAAGTTGTTTCTCAGACCCTTTTAATTGTTGGTGACAACCTTTTTATTCTTGTGTAACCGATCATCAAAGAAGCACAAAGCATTCTATTTAGTTTGTCCCAGGAGTCATCAGGGCAGCCAGGAATGACAGAGATGAGCGCCGGACTGCTGGTAGCTTCCCCTGAAAGTAACTTTTATTGGAGTGACAGCAGAGTAAACTTCCTGCTGGTCGAACAACACTAAGCAGGCACTTACTGAGGCTAGCACAACTTCATCAGGACGGGAAGTCAACAGGAAAACAGGGTCCTGCTGGTTGGCTTCCATACTTAGAGTTCTAACAGGGTTTTCAACGTTGCTAAGGATTGTTAAAGTCATTTTCCAAGGAAGATTATTCAACCACAGGGGCCATCGAGTCTAACCCATCCCTGAATAAGACCAATAAGTGGGCACTCTTTGCTCTAAGACCTCCAGTATGGGGCAATGCACTCATTATTCTCTGGGGGAACCCATTCTACCTGGAATGTCCCTCATTATTAGTAAGTTTTCCCCTACATCATCAAGCCTGAATATGATTCTTTGCTTCTTTCACTCAGACTCTTTGTACCAGGTTTCTATTCTGTTCCAGTTGTTCAGTAGCCTGAAGGCAGAAAGTAGGTAGAGAGGAGGGGGAGGAAAAGAAACCCCAGAACATACAGAAATGATTATGTGAAACCCCCATATGAAAACATAACTAAGGCAAACTAAATTTGCCCATGTTCAACATATATATGTGTAATATATATGTATATATAATGCACATTATATATACAGATACAATACACACATATTTATACTGGAATTTTATTATGATTGAAAATAAATAAAGTATGTGCTATAAATCCTCTGACTCTTTTCTCCCATTGGCTCCAGGCAGAGGTGACTATTACTATGGAGAGCTGCCCCAGAATAGTACTCAATGGGGATTATTTGAAGCTACAATGGATGTTTAGTTTGGGAGAGAAAAAAAGCCTGAGAATGGAGGACTAAGGCTGCTATCTTCAAGTATCTAAAGGATTGTCATGGGAAAGGAGAAGAGACTTATCCTTAATAATCCCAGGGGAAAGAACTAGGAGGATGAGGAGGAGTAGCAGAAAAACAGATTTAGACTTGATGAAAAGGGAAATGGTATAGTAATTAGAGCTATACAAAAATGAAATGGGCTGTCTTAGAAGGCAAAACTCTTAACAAAGGCTTGAAGAGGGGAGCACTTTTTGGGGATTCCCCCCCAAATCACACTTACAGATTGGGTTCCACAGGGGATGAAAACCCTACATTCAAAGTAACTATGGGTCCATACTCCTTAAAATTATAACTCAAGAGCCCCCACTGATGTGTTTACTGTTCTACAGTCAGTCAAAGAATGCAATTAGTCACAATAAAGGTACTTAATGAAATAACATAGTAAGAAAAACAGCAACAAAAAAATCTTGTACTCTCCCAAAAGTTCACACAGCACAGTGGGAAGAGTGGAGACATTCTTAAAGTTCACCTGTAAAGGGGCCCACACACCTGTTGGGAAATTGTCTTCTAACTCTGAGGTTCTGGGGTGCCATGATTCCATATATACAATTCAGCAAACCTCCCCCAGGATAGAACGGTTCATTAATTCTTTTTCCCAAAAAGACAAGCATTTTAACCAAGCAATTGTTATCCCTATAACCTAGTCAGAGTGAGAACACAAGATTTCCTATCTATTAGTCCCAGAAGTGAGGAATATCTTTTTTTATTAGAAGTTCCAAAATCACTCTAAGGAGTTCTTATCACAACATAGACAAACCTAGAGGATAGAAAGTATATGCCCACTGTAAAAACAAAAAACAAGAATTTCAGCTTCACTAGAACACGTATATTGAAGTCATCTCTCCCCAGAAAGCCATACTCCTTTATTTACTAAATTTTGCTTCCTTTTTTTTAAAGGCAGGAACCATGAGTAAAAGTTACAAAGAGGATAATTTCGGCTTGATATCAGGAAAACCTTCTTAACAATTAGAGCTGGCTGAAAGCATTATGGGTTACCTTGAGAGGTAGTGGGTTCTCCATTCTCCTTAGAAATCTACCCTTAGAGGCTAAACACCCCCTTATCAGGTATGAACGGTAGAAATTCTTTTGGGGGCGGCTAGGTGGCGCAGTGGATAGAGCTCTGGCCTTGGAGTCAAAAGACCTGGGTTCAAATGTGACCTCAGACACTTGACACTTACTAGCTGTGTGACCCTGGGCAAGTCACTTAACCCCAATTGCCTCACCAAGAAAAAAAATCCTTTGACATAAGGGATGGATTAGATGTCCAATAAGATCCTTTCCAACTCTCATTTCTGCCACTGTGATTCTGGGAAAGGAGAAACTATCATCTAATTGTTTGGGGTTATTTTTGGCCTCTGTCATCAATTTCAATAGACCTTCAAAGTGAGATCCTATCCTCTATATTGGCAGGCTCATGTGTGAAAATATTATTTCACAATAGAGTTTTTTAATACTTAATCATAGCACCTAATATTTATGTAATACTCGTGGTATCATCTCTAAGCACACAATTTCCTTCACTCATTCTTTCTATCTTCTGCTGCTCATTGAAACTTGCTTTTCACCTGAAGATACTGCATCTCTTGAAACCTTCTCCAAAACTAACTGCTCTTTCTCTTGCACCCCCCGACACAGGTTAAGAAAAGAAGTTAGCAAACTTCTTCCCTTCCACTTTCTTTCTTTTTTATAGTTTTATTTTTAATTTATGGAATAGAACAAGGATTCCCATAACACAGTACATTTCAAACCCTCTCTCTACTACCATTGCACATTAATAACAATAATAACTAGCATCTATATAGCATTTTTAAAATCTGAAAAGCATTTTACATGTTGTCATTTCATTTGACCCTAACAACAACCCTGGAGGTAGGTGCTATTATTATCCCCATTTTACAGATGAGGAAACTAAGGCAGATTGAGATTAAATGACTTGCCCAGGGTGACATCACTAGTAAATACCTGAGGGTAGACTTGAACTCATCTTCCGTATTCCAGGCTTAGAACTCTATCTACTCCACCACCCAGCTGTCTACCCCAGACTACCACTCCCATAACCTCTGTCTCTAGATTACCTCAAATAATCACGTGCCAAGGAAGGGTCATATCTTTGACACCTAATCTTCCAGTGAAATTGACTCCAGGTGCTGGAATTCCTTCTTAACAGTTCTAATTGCATCACAACTACTATAGTCTTGGTAAGGAGTAGAAGAAAAAACATATGTCTATAGTAAATTACAGAAAAAATCCAAACCTTTTCCTTTATTGTATATCTACAGTCATTCATAAAATTGCATCCAAATTTGTGTTTAAGTAGAGGAGAAAAAGCTCAAGTAGAGGTCTTTCTTGCAAAAGGCAGCATGGCTACTTTCCTCCACTGGACTCAAATAACCCTAGACCAAATTCAATGCCTGATGCCTAATTCTCTTACTTGAAAGAGTATATGAAACTGTTTTTATAAATTAAGAAGTAATGATGGGGGAGGGGATTCCAATCCAGTCTTTTTCTGCTGTCTAACCACTCTAAAATAGCTACAAATACAAAAGGTCATTTAACAAACCAAACCACCTGAATTCCATCATTCAGAATAACACCCACATAGATTTTCAAATCCAGCAGCCCCATTACCCAAGGGAAAAAAAATCCCTAACACTGATGTACATTTTATTGTTACAGTTAATGTCCCCATAACTTTGAAGAGGTTTGTACCTTTAACTAAGTTTGACATTTGGTTTGAAGCGACGTCTGAGGTATATTTTTATTAGAAACATACAGAGAGTTTGTTCCGCATAGCACAGGTCGACATGCTACAATACTTAGTGATCTTGACATTTTCCTGGAATACTAAAGAACAATTTTCCTCAACTCAGAGCAGGAAGTATGTAGTTTGGTCACTCAACATAAATATTCTAGCAATACTTTAACTACCTCACATAAGCATTTGTTTTACCTCAAGTTAGGTATTAATAATCCACGGGTACATCAAACCTTTCTTGTGGTTTAGTCTGTAGAAAAGCTAGGAACTAGCGGTGCCCAGTGGTATTGCTGAAATAATTATGAGGCATAATTAGATTTTTGAAGTTGATATGGAGAAAGGTAGAGTTTGCAGAGAAACCTGCTTATTAACCAAGGGCCATACTCCAACAACCCCCGCCAGTCCCTTTGGTTAGCTGATTCCATTTCAGACAGTCAACAAACATTTATTTAAACACCTACGTGTCACCTATGTGTCAGGCACTGTGCTAAGCCCTAAGGGATACAAAAAGAGGCAAAAGATAGCCCCTGTCCTTACGGGTCTTTCGGTCTAATGGAGAGACAAAATACATATAACTATATAAACAAGATAAATACGAGGTA